GCCTTTTTCTTGACACAAAATACTGATTCACTCAGATCATGTATTCATATCAGGGATTTAGTATTTCCAAGATGGGGATACCTTTTTATTTAATGATGCTGGAAGACAAAGGAATGTAGACCAACTTCGGGCACCAAGACCACCCAGAAATAGACCTGCAAAACGTCGTACCCTAGTCGTGTTAAACAGAATGTGTCGTCTTGTAACAGTTGAGAATCCACGCACACTTAGATCAGTTGCAAAAGCCGTCAACGATACTCAGGCAACAGTACGTAACATAACCAGGAAGGATCTTCGTCTGAAGAAGCGAAAATCACATGAGCACAATTTGATGCTCTGACATTTCTGTTCAACCGTCGTTTACTTTAAGCAGCTTGAGATTAAAATGGGAATTCATGCTATTGAATACGAAAATATACCGGTCAAGTCGCCATGTTTTTGTGCGAATGGGCGCTGTAAAACAGTCATCCTCCTATGCCAGAAGGAAAGTGAAAGGCTTGCAGGGAGGAGTGATATGAATCATGAGAGAGTATTTTACATCTACTCGTCGAGTAGATGCCAGCTAGAAATGGTTTTTATAAATTCATATAATTCTTTTTATATGTATTTTTCAGGTATACTTATACAACATAACTTGTTTTGTCTAAGGTTTTGCAATAATTCATTTCAGTAATAAAAAAAGCCTTATAATTCAAAAGTTAATAGCTTCTAAGAATATCTTGTTGCTAGAACTTTTATTTTTACCTATATTATTAACAGTATTTTTCGCTGGTTTTTAATTAATCTTTGTTTTGCAAGTTCACGTTGTAAAGTTATATAGATTAACAAATCAGGTTAATTCTACTTCAAAATTTTCAACAAGGTCGTTAATGATAAGGGAAACTTTTAATTTTGTATTTATAATACCGAAAGTTTGTTATTAGCTGCAGCACATATTTGACGTTTGTAAGCGCCGTTTTGGTGTTACTGTTTAGTGGATTAACGAAAAATATTTAGGTGAAACATCAAGAAGAAAGGGCTTATTCAGAAAAGTTAGGCAAATCCCAGATTTCAGCTGTAAACGGATCGAAAGAGTGAGCATTTGACCTGTTTATTAAGAAATAAGACAGACAGCTAGTGTGATGGTATTGTACCATAATATCGTGACATACTCCACTGAAGGCTTTCTATATATCGGCAGAGCACATACAAAAGTTCTTAATTAGATCCAACGATGTTATTTAGTAATATTTCACATATTGAAATTCCAACAAAGGTTTGTTTGTTTGTTTTTGAATTT